ATATACAAAGAGATGAAAACATGATTTCTTCTGATCCTTAAGGAGTCCAGAGCTATTTTCTCAACTGCTAAAGGTGTTAAGGCCAGTGTTCTGGCCTTGTTCCCAAATGGGTAATTGAATTACTTTGAACTTCTGCAAGTTCAGTTGGACGTAGAGTTCTCCACTTTCTGCTCCTGGATGTTCTTATGGGATTATTCTATTAGATTCAGTGCCTGCAAAGCTCGTGTTGGGAAAACGATTCCTGAATTTGTGTGGGCTTGGGTTGTGGTTGTGGGTGAGGAAAGCCAACGTGCCTGGTTACGGATCCCCTGCTCAAGGTCAGTGCTTTCAGAATGGGGAGAAAGCCCCACATTTACGGGGAGAACTTCACACAAAATAAGCTTGAATATTCTTGGTATGAGAGGGAAAAAGGTATTGAGAATAATGTCCTTAAACAAGCAGGCTTCACTTCTCAAAGGTGTGTTAGAAGTGGAAATAGGTGATGCTGTATCTGACTGGTTGGGACCTGCGGGGTATTCTAGTTTCTGTAGGTTTGGGAGTAGGAAAAGGGCTTTTTTTTTTTGCATTTCGTTTATAGGTCTCCCTTCATCTGATATTTAGGCACCTCAGGTTCCTTTTGGATGAGCCATAAAAGATAAGCATGAAGTTTTAATGCCTTACAGATACCAAGAGGCAGTAAGTGGAATTGGGCCATCTTACATGGGCATGGCTGCCAACTCAATGTGAGAAATGTAAATAAGATATTTTGAGCTATCTTTTTTTTCCCTGTCAGAATCTAAATAAGCTCAATCCATTTTAAGGCCCGGGTTCAGCTGTTAGAAAATGGGTGAATTTTAGTTTAGAATTTAATTAGTTCTTTATAAAAAGCCTTATTTTTGAATTTCAGGGAGATGAACGCATGGCGGCTCTTCCTTGGTTGAAACCTTTTTGTCTGCTCTCTCCATAGGGAAGTTTGACACCTTGTCACGACTGGTGAGAGTTTTGGTAAGCCAAGCTATGGTAGTGCTGAGGATATCTTGCTAAATTGGCAGGAAAGTTTGTTAAAGTTGGATCACAGCAAAGCAGTCCATCACAGTATTATTCTCAGGAACAATATTTGCTGCCTTGATTTTTCTTTTGAACACCTCCAGGCATTCTTCCTGTCCCTATCTTACTTTGCTTCTTGTTATTTTTGCAGTTGATTGTGTTTCCCAAGGAAAAAAGAGGGGAAAACAAGCTGAATTATAGCTAACTAGGATATGAGGCTCTTAAAGCAATACGGGTGGGTAGAGAGGAGAGTAGAGGATATCCATTAATTAATGAGGTGAATGAAATTTTGATGATTCTAAAATGGTTGATTTACTCAACTGCACTGTAAATTGATTTTCAAACAGGATTAAGTTTATTAAAAATATTTTGAAAATGGAAAATAACAGAAGCTTTGTTAGAATAACGTTTCTAAATAATCTTAGTGTAGTTATTCATTAAAAGAGAGTAGATAGCTCGTAATGTTGGAACATGTTCAGTAATACGAAGTTTTGCAATATTTGTTTTGTGTTTTTAATGGAAAATTCCCAGTTCCTGAAATTGTTCTCAATACACAAAGCTGACTCAGAAGCATTTTTTCTAAACCTTATGATTATGTAGAAAAGCACATGGAAATGTGAATGAGAGTTCAAGACCAGTACCTGTGTCAGGCACGGTGTGTGCTGTGTTGGCAGCTATAAGCACGGGAGTTTCTCGCTCTGTATGTGACACTGGTGAGATCAATGAGATGCTGTGGATGACTTTGGTTTGTTGTTTTCTTTCCTAAGTGTTGAAAAGTTATGTAGTATAGAAGTTGTGTAGGTTGGAGGGCTAGAAGAATATCTTGCATGGACATCTTTAGCAGTGACTGTTAACTATAGAATAATGGATTTAATCTGGCAGCTCATTTGCTGTTCTCCAGTTCCTTTCTGCAGCTGTTTCAGGAGCAGTCCAGAGATTAACAGTATCTGTGGGCCACAGATGTTGGATGTCACTGAATATATGGTGCAGAATGGCCTTGTTCAGCAGCCCGTGCATCCCTGTGCGCATCACCATGCATGAACAGTGAATCCTCTCTGCACCAGTGTTGGACAAACTGGAAGCCACATCACTTTCCCACGTACAGCCTTGTACCACTGGAAGCAAAATATTTATCTTACATATAACCCACGTCTAGAAGCTGAGCCCTAACATTTTAGATAAATTAGTGATCACACTCATTTTAAAGGCAATGACTGTCCACAAGCTTCTGCAGGGAATGTTAGGTTCTTGATATTACTTGACTTTTTTGAAGCCATCTTGTGCTTTTGTCAGATCAGTTTTTGGTTCTTGGGGCTAGAAGAGCAAAAGTTCTGTGCTTCTGGGTCCGTGACAAACTGAAGATGAACCTAGATAAACTGAAGTATGTTTTAGTATTAAATCTTGAAGAGTCAGTGGAGGAGGAATTTTGGGTGGAGGTGGAGTCTTGGATGCATTAAATCCTCCAGTTCAGTAAAGTACCTGAGGACATGGTGTTGATAGATAAATGATTCAGGGAACGCATGTTAGAAGTACAGGTAAGAAATGACAAAGGTGGGTTTATCTCTAATGAGGGGTGAGCTGGCACATCTAGGGAAAGCAATCTCAAGGCCAGATGTTTGATAAGAGATTTTCCTATTTGAAAAACATGCTACTTAGAGCTGACATGGGGAGCTTTCTTACTGCACGGGAGTTGGTGACGTGAGTCAGTAAGGCAGTGCATTCACTACAAAGTGTGGACAAAAGGGCTGAGCATCTCTGCTTCCCTAAATACAGAGGGCAGATCTAGAACACAGTGTCTGTTTCCAGATGCTCCTTGTCAAGCCCAGAACAGCTCAAAGTGCAGTGCAATTTCCAGATTTTAGTTGCTACAATTCCTGTCAGACTATTGCTGCAGTCCGACTGCAGACTACTGCTGCACTGGCTGCTGTGTCCTCCTCTTCGTAGAATAGTCTAGGTGCTTGTCTTTTAAAATTGAAAATGGCATTTACAGTTTCAGTAATTAATTGTCCCAAAGGACAGAGCATTCCTGTTGGACTGAAGCACTCATCTGAATGTAGTCTGTCTTTTCACACGGTTGTTTTCTTGGATGGGCATCATCCCCTTGCATTGTCCTCTTGCTTTCTTTTCCTGCATACACATTTCTAATGTTAAAAGGGGTTCAGTATTTGCTATAGGAAGATAAAGACAGGAGCTTCTTTCCAGTCTGCATGTGCTATTTTCATGGGTGTATGCATGTTGGTTTTGTATGCCTTGTCTGTAGCTACACTCCAACTACAGCTCAACTAAGCAGAGCAATTCCCAGGGCTGCTCTTCAGTCCTAAGGCCACTGGACCACATCCATGCTACAGGACTAGCCTTGAAAAGTGCGTAGCTGTATCCAAACTCCTTGCTTGTGGTTTCTGGTCTATGCAAAGTCCTGTATAATGCCTGCGAATTGGTCAGGACTGCAGTAGCTGTGTTGGAGCAAAATTGCAAAAACAGAGCAATATAATGATCTCGTAGATAACTGTGGGTACTGAGTGCTTCTCCCTTGGCACTGTTCATTGTTACAAGTATTGATAGAGCTATGTGCTTTGACTTGAGGATACACCTTATCTATTTCCTTACCTAGTCAGATCTGTGTGGTGAGATGTTTCAAGTTTGGATAGATTTTATCACCATACCCCCAAAACCTACTGGTTTTGTTTAGGTTTCTGTGATGCGTGTACCTGAAGGAAATCCCTGCAAAGCCTGCTGTAATCCCAAAGGCTGTTATTCCTCCTTTGGTTTTCATAGGGTTTTTGTAATTCTTGCCTGACTTTTAATCTGCTCTTGTTTGTAGGGATTCTACAATTAGCTCTGCCACATGTCATGGAGTTTGAATGATATTTTTACCATGTTGTCCTGCAGGAATTATAAAAACCCTTGACTCCTTGAGAAGATCCACAATAAGGTTCGAAAATACCCTGATCTCTTTCCCAAGTTCTCTCTGCCCTCCATCTGCTGTCCCTTCTCAAGATCCTGAGTTCTGAAGGAGTGATCTTGTCATTTGTATGCCGTTTGGCTCTGCTGTAAGGAGACTTAGGAAGGAAAAGCAATTAAGGGAAGCTCACTGTGCTTTTACCAGTTCCATTTCTTGTCTTTGCAGCAAATTCATAGGACAGTCATTGTTCTGATACCTTTGGAAGTTTAGTAGTTAAAAAAAGCTTTTGATGAGCCACCATGTTGATGGAGTTGCACCAGAAGCCTGTCTTTGGAGGGAAGAAAGCAGCAGAAGTTTCTTTAAATGAAAGCTTGTAGTAATTGGATGTGCTGCACTTTCCTTCTTAGGGCAGGCAATCTGTGACAACATTCCAGGTTCAAAAGTTGGTAACTTCAGAAATCAGACTTCAGTCAAATCAACTTTGGTTCCACAGGCCACTAGAATTTCCGCTAGGTATGTTTTTATCTTCTGTTTTCAAGGCAGCAACAAGAAGTTAGGGCAACTTGAACCCTTTGTACTGCAGATTCGAAAGAGCTGTGTTTCATAAATCTCATGTCATAACTGGTTAAAAGTTCTCCACAAAAACTCTACCTCTGGCCTTGAATGAACTGGTCAGTTTGGGAATCTGGAGTTTCTGTTTGGAGGATAGTTGGCAGTGAGGAAAATTTGGTGTGAATTACTGAACAGCCATCCTCCCTCTGTTACAGAGGTTTATCAGGAACAAAAGAGTAGTAACTGCTGGTTCATTGTAGAAGCAGTGAAAGAAGGAGAGAGAAATGCTTTCTGAAAAGTTTGCAGAAGATGAGCCTTTCTGCCAAGTAGCAAGAGTACTGGTCATGAGAGGCAAACTGCTGAACTTGATTGGAGGTGGACTGTTGGGTTGCCATCTCCGTCATAAGTGTGGTTAAAGTGTCAGACTACAATTGGTGTTTTCTCCTGCAAGGTATTTTCCATGTATCACAGAGAAGTGTTGAACTGAAGTATTTGCTTTTCCATCTCACCTTGTTTTCAGCCTGCTGGAAACCATGTCTCACTACACAGACGAACCAAGATTTACCATAGAGCAGATAGACTTGCTTCAGCGCCTGAGACGTACAGGAATGACCAGACATGAAATCCTCCATGCGCTGGAAACCTTGGATCGTCTTGATCAAGAGCATAGTGACAAATTTGGAAGAAGATCTAGCTACGGAGGTGGTTCCTACAGCAACAGCACCAACAACGTCCCAGCATCTTCCTCGACAGCCACGGCTTCAACACAGACCCAGCATTCTGGGATGTCCCCATCCCCAAGCAACAGTTATGACACCTCCCCACAGCCTTGCACTACTAATCAGAACGGGAGGGAGAGTAACGAGAGGTTGTCTGCATTCAATGGGAAGATGTCACCCACCCGTTACCCGCTAGCAAACAGCTTGGCTCAAAGGTCCTACAGTTTTGAAGCTTCCGAAGAAGACTTGGACATCGATGACAAAGTGGAGGAACTGATGAGGTCAGTAGAAGTCTTTGTAGGTTTGGAAAGTCAGGGAGAAAAGTCCTTCAGCATGCAGATTCCTCCTGTGGGACTACCTTGGTAGTGACAGGTGTTACCAAGAAAGCAGGAGTTGCTTTCTTGACAAGACAGCTATTCCCCTGCTAGTTTCTTGATGGTCAGTATCTCAGTACCTCTCTCCTGACTCTCAGTCATGTGTAGACAATCCCATGTGCAGATATACCAGAGGCTGTTTTACTGCTGAAACACTTTTTTCCATGCTGTACCAAAGACTCAAATTCATGCTTATTCACCGAATTTCCACCCTACTCTTATTTAGAAGATTTCTGACTGAGTCTCAGTTCACGTGAGTCTTCTTCCACTAATGTGTACCAGTTGAGTTTCCTTCCATATATAGGCAGAGTAGGGAAGCTGCTTGGTTAATGCTTTCCACGGTGATCTGCAGTGCATGTATGTTATCTGTTTATAGTTTGTGGCAGGGGCTGACTCCCTCTTGGATTTGCACAGTCTGCAGATTGGTGCAGGAAAACAAAACAACAAAAAAAAGAAACAGAAGTCTTTAATGAGGGCTAGTTGTTTGTTGTTCTTGTTTTTATTTCATTTTGTTGTGTCTTTGTTTTCTAGATTGACCTTCCTTTACTTTTAGCTGCTTCCTTTTCAGCGTTATGGCAGAGATTAAAAGAGGGGATTATTCCACTGAAGATGAAAGACTGAGTCAGTGGGCTTGACAGCAAATGACAGCAAAAAGAAATGCAGGGAAAGGGCAAAAAATCTCAAAACTATTTTAGTTACAATGTTGGAATGTTTTTTTTCCTTGAAGCTGCAACAAATCAGAAGTACCTATGGGAGGGAGAACTAGGATCCATAATCTCCAGAATGGAAATAAGTTTGGAGATTTAGGGTAGAAGTGCGGCTGGAGAATATTAGAGATGAGCACTAGGAAAAGCCAATCAGCCTCGTTTACTGTCAGCTGCAGGGTAATGGAATAATGCAGGAAGGTGGTAAATATAGCAGTATGCAGGAGTTGCCATGGCTGAAGTTTTAACCGTTCCTTGGAGTTTTTGGTTCCTATGAGTCTCAAGTAAACTGAAGCTACGTTTATTTTCCAGCATATGGAAGGTAATTGAATATGGAAGTAAAAATGAACGCACAACATGGCATTTATTTTCCATTTTGAAGGATTTTCTGCCTTGAGAGCTGCTGAGGCAGGACAGGAGAAGGGGAAGAGAGATTACTAAATAATAAGGCCTAATAAAGATTGGTTTTACTTCTCTGCACCTTTCAGGGAAGAGAGGAGGAAAAAGAAGAAAAAGTGTATTTTCAGTAGCTGAAATTTGCTGTGTATCCCAATCCTTAGGTAACCCCCAAATTATTGACCTTTTAAGCACAGTGCCTACTGAATTATCTTAGTATACCTTGGTACCCATAGCAGGGGGGGTTGGAGCCTGATAATCTTTAAGATCCCTTCCAACCTAAGCCATTCTATGATAGTACCTTTTAAAAATCATACAAAGCAATGATGCTTTTCATTCAGTGCAAGCCATAGGCTAGGGAAGTAACAGCGGAGGGGTGGAGGTTGCAAAATCTTTTTTCCTTTGGATCTTTCCCTTGAGTAGCTGCAGGACGTTTGTGTGTATGTGTTCAGTTGTGCAGCTAACCGCGCACACCCTGCTATCCTTTATTTTTTATTTTTGTGCCTTATTTTTATGACGGAGGATTTTATGCTGGTATGAGAGATTTATTCATCCCTGTGTAATGAAACTTTGCACATTCCATATGGCAGCCCTGCACCTAATATGAATTATATAGGACGTGAGCCATCCATTCTCCTGCTAGGGTACTTTGATCAAACGTGACACTAGTTAAAAGAAGTGTCCACCGGTGAGGCACTTTGACTGTTTTAATGCCTGCCTTCCCCACTCCTTGTCCCCTAAATAAAGAAAATGAAGCCATTTTCCATCTTCAAAGTGCACTTTGGTCTGCCTGTCTGGGTCTTTTTTCTCTTTTTTTGTGCTCTTGTTTTTTGTTTTGGTAGGAGGGACAGCAGTGTGATAAAGGAGGAAATCAAAGCCTTCCTAGCCAATCGGAGGATTTCCCAAGCAGTTGTTGCACAGGTAACAGGTAAGAGCTGGGGGAGTCCCTTCTTCATTTTGGGAAACTGTGTCTAACTGCCTTATGTGTGCATGGTGCAGATGTTGGAATATTGCTTGGCTTTCTGCATTGCAGTGCAGATCTGTCAGCTTAGTCATGATAATGTATGCCTTTGATTTAAGACCCATTGTCCCGCACATCACAGAACTTCCCCAGTGAATCACTTGTTCTTTTTTTCCTTTTTTCTTGTGGCTTGTGCTAGCAGATTTTATTTTACAGCATTATAATAAGCCCAAAGTTTTTATCTTTAAAATGAAACCATTTTCCTTAATTCCTAAATTGTTTGTTGAATGTAGTAAATAGATACATATCTGCATCTCTCTGTATAGAGATATGAATAATACATATTTGTATTATAAAATGCATATGAGAAATCTGGAGACACAGCTATAACTGATATCACTCCATCCAGCATTCGTTTTGTGATAGTTTTGAAGTTTTTCAATTGCTTGTCTCCACAAACAGTGAAAGTGAGTTGTGAGATCGAGGGATGACTATTTTAGCTTAGATTTTACTAGAAGGAGCAGTAGGGTGCTCTGGGCTTTTTTGGTCTGTTTTAACCCCTTACCTTTTACATTCTCTCTTTTGTGTTCAGGACAAGTAAGCATTGATACCACTTATTCTATTTGTGTGTTATCAGTTCTACTTTATAAATAAACAGATCAATCCCGTATTGTATCTGTCACATCTATTCATTTTTAAAACCAAGCTGGATTAAAGATGTTGGAATGGATCCTTTCTAAGGTTCCTTGCTGACTAGGAATGCCAAACCAACAGGAGGGAAGTTGTTCTTTTATGATATTTCCAGCGTTTGAAATGTCATGAGGACCCATCTGCATGGGAGATCTGGGTTTGCAGACACTGTGTGTGCTAGCAGTTGAGGTAGGCAGGCAGAAATGGGTACTGGAGCCATGGAGCCAGGAATTCCTTCCACATCTGTGTTCTTGGGCAAATTACTTGTACAAAATGAACATTTTGTATCACTCTAAGGAATGTTACTAGCCTTACCAGATGTTAGCATTAGTAATGCTAAGTCTTCTTAGTTGAATTGGACCTGAACTGTGGGCAGTTTGTGGGTCGGTCCCATACCTCTGTGAAGTTCTTGCCTGAATATGGCCTTGGAATGGCTTATTTCTATATTAACCTCCTGTATAGTTTATTATGAGGGCAAGCAACAGAAAAATTCCTGACTCCAGAACAGAGCCTCTGAGCCTGAGTAAGTCAAACTTACCCTCCTTCTTCAATAGAGGTGTTTTAAAGAGGGAAAAAAAAAAAAAAAATGCGGCAGGATAATATTTCCAAAACAAAGCAGCACTTTTTTTTGTCAGTTAGACTATTGCATGCAGTTAAAGAACTCCCATGCCAGATCTAAGGTAGTTTGTATCACTAAAAAGAACTGATCTGTTTGCCTACATCTCGGTGCATATCTCAGTACCCAGGCAGGCTGTAGCAAAGTCAAGGTGGATCTCTTCACTCCTGGTCACGTTGATCCTTCCATCCTCATCCTGCACTCTTTGCTATTGCTCGATGTCTTGTCCTGCCAGACAGAACAGAGATTGACCTAACGGCACTATCGTCTTGTTTTCACATGAAATCAATGGCACCCCAGGTAGCTCTAAAGGCTGAACAGCTATATTTTTTTGCAGCTGACCAACGGACCTTTCAAATAAGAAAATAAAGTGATATTTTGAACTTGATGCACTTTCTTAAGCAAAGATAGCTGTAAGGCCTGTGCTGTGTTACGATGCACAGACCTTCCTCCTGCTGCCCTTTGCAGCTGAGCAGTGTTCTCTTCCTGGTCTTACTAGGAAGGTCATTAGGAGCTGGTTCATTTTAAAAGTAACCCTTAGCCTTGTGTATGCAGATGTGTAGCACTTACGTGCCGCTATTAAGTACTTAGTTATGGCTTATCTGAAAGGAATAGTCTCAAGGAGATTGAAGGGACTGGATTAAAGTGTGTACTCAGCACTAACGGGGGAAACATCAGCTTCCTTTCAAAGGCACAGAACAGTGAAGGGTGGCTGAAAATATCTCAGGACAGAGACCCAGAATGGAAAGCATGTATCCCAGGGCTCTCATTTCCAGACTGGTCTTAGAGCTGGTGAATGCTAGTTGACTTTTGTGTTCTGCGGATGTATCCATCATCCTTCCCCAGTTCAACTGTGATGCAGTCTCCCAAGGAAGGTTTGGAAACCCCTTTTGATTCTTCAGAAAAGGAATTTGGGCAGGCTAGCACGATGCTTTGCAGAATGTATGGTCCCAAATATTAGGACCATATTCATACATATGGTCCCATCTCAGTGTTTACAGACTTAGTCTTACTGGTAAAGCTGGTTTGCTAATTATTCAGTAAATAAGAGAAAAATAGATAAATAAAATTCAAAGAGTGGCCACTAACAGATGACATAGGGAAGGACTCTAGGAAGTCCTCTTCAGAATGCTGCTCAGTCTGGGTGATTGGATTCCTTTCCAGCCCCAGGCATCATTCATCACCATTCATTTAAATACAAACATAGCTGCAATTCAGATGTTGGGTGTATTTGACTTCCCCAACCGCTACCACCCTCCATCAGCTGGAAATCATTTGTTTGGCACTTGAAATAAATGCAGAATACTACGGCCTCAGCTTTTATCATTCATCACTTCTGCCTTGGGAAGAAAGGCAAGAAACAAATGAAATGAAAAATCCATGGCTGGCTCTGTCCAGGAGGAGCTGTTTGACCCAGCTGCCTGTGCTGTGGTCTTACTCCCTTCAGTCTCTACAATTCCTATGCTATTTTAAAAATTCTGCTTATCTGTGTAATGGGAGGGGAGAAAGAAAGGAGTAACTGTTCAGTGGTATTAGACCTCAAGCTAGGAAACTGAAACCTTACTTTTTCTTACTTCTTACTGGGTATGACATTGTTTTAACTGGACACGTAAATTTGTTAAAACAATGTATTTGTATATCTTTGAATTGCAGGTCATGAAATAGAGCTGCTGAATTGCTTACCCTGTGCTTACAATCCTATTTGTCCCCATTCTATCTTGTCATCTTTCTATTCTTGGAGCAGGAACCTCCAATGCAACTTCTGCAATTTCAGACTTCACTTTTGACTGATTTTGTGAATTCTTGAAAAAAACCTTTCTTTTTCTCATCTCAATTCAAGTATTGCAGTGCAGTTACAGGTTATGCATTCCTATATCAACCAGTCTTACTACTGAGGGCTACTACTGAGCAGGCTTTCAATTGCAGCCACTGCAATGGTAAACTGCTGCTCCTTTTGTTTTTCTTGTGCTGCATTGAGAGGGGGTGGGAAGTGAGGGAGGCCAAGGATTTGTAAGAGGGAGACACAGAGCTGAAGGTTAAAGTCTGCTGTTGCAGTAGAACAATTTTTTAGGCTCTCTTAGTCTTTATAAAATTACCAGAAACTTCTCAAGTCATTTAGATAATGAATCTGACAAGGAAAATTAAACCTGGAAGACATTCTACAGGGCTGCCTTGTGTACTGAGAAAAGAGAGCAGATCGGAAAATAGTAACATCAGGATATTAAATGGTGACTTGGAAATAAAGAAATGATTGATAAGAAGCAAAAACTTAGCATAACACTTATTAGTGCTGGTCCTAAATACAGGAGCTGCTTTTTATAGAAACTTTTTTAATGGTGTCTGTAATAAGATAAACAAGAAGCACTTGGGTTGGGCTCTGTATAAATAATCTCCTACCGATAAGAAAAATGACAGTATAAACAGGAGCTAATAATAGTTCCTGCTGAATTTCCTATCTTGTTTTTTGAAGCTCCTTTTAACATAGCTGCAGCTCACTTGAGGTAGGGATTTAGCCCTGCATGTGGCAGGTGAGGTGCCAGATTTTTACAAACAGTAATCTGAAGTCATGTAGTGCAATTTGTTTTAGTTATCACCGGAACGGTTTGTGGGCACAAAGTAGGAAGTCAAACTCTTGTTTGGAGATGCTGTCCCTTGATGTGTTCTCTAAATGTAGGTGGAGAATGGGGGAGACGTGTTCAGAAACTGACACCTTTCTGTTGCGTACCACAGCAAAGGACAGAGGGAGGAGTACTCAGAGATGGGCCCTTTGCAGCCAACCCAAATGCTTTGATGGATGATGCCTCTGCAAGCTTTGGAAGTGTTGAATTTTCCATTTTTTTACACATAAAGAGGAATGAAGGAACAGAAATCTGTACTTTCCTGAGGTCACAGTGGAAGCAGTCAGTGGTAGAGCAGGAATTTGAATTCACAGTTCTCAGTCCTTAGGTTGGTGCCATAAAAACCAAGCCATCACGTGTGAAAAATAATAATAAATAATGATAAATGCAGAGGTCAGGTGTTCTTTTTGTTTGCTTTTTTGAAAAATGTACCACAAATAGAGCTTTCCAGTGCGTGGTTCTGCTGACCTTCCTGATTATTCTGTGTGTATGATTCAGCCTTGTCCTTCTGTCTCTGTCTTAATTGATGTGAGATCCCCAGGACTCCGCTTTGTGTTGTGCTAAATCTGCAGAGCACCTAATGCAGTGGAGAGCAGCCTCTGACATCTCCTAATGCTTGGAACCTACAGGGGTGCCGAGCAAATCACAAATACAGACCAAATGTGATTGAACTAGTTCAGTGTGAAGAAAACTCAGAAAATTACTGATCATCGGAGGTGAAACTAGCATTTTCTCCTGAAAACTCATGGAAAGATTTGGTTTTTTAATGGTTTTGATCTTTGCAGATTCTCTGCAAAGAAGCATTGGCTAATCTCTTCAATTGGTACACGTCCTTTGCAAGCATGTGCTATATGAATGTAGGATTTTGCTCTCAAACAGGAGAATTAAGACGCTGCCAGTTATTGCCTCTCCAAATCTGATGTATTCCAGGTGCTTCTAAAAATCTCTCCTGAAAGAAACATTAAAGAAATGCAAAGTAGAGTCACTGAACAAATCTGTACGTGAAGGTGAAAAACAGTTACTTAAAGACTTAATGAATAGCAGTTGTGAGGGTTACTGGTAGATTTGTACCGCAGGTATCAATTGCCTTCTCTGAATGACACATTTAGACATTCCTTTTAATTATATGTAAGGAAAAAATCTTTCATGTATGATTTGTTTAGGAGATAACGGGCATGCCCAGAGGAGCAAGCTTGTACTGTCATCTCCATTTAGTTTGTAATTATGAATTGTAACCTGCTGTGGGAAGGAGTGATGTGTGACGCAAGAGATCATCATTTGATTTGCTGTAATCCTTTGTGATTACCAGTCTTCCTTTACTCTTTGCAGTGAGTGAGCTAGTTGTGCTCTTTACAGAGTGTTCTTGTCCCTGCTGATCCTGAGCCCAGAGGATGTCAGTCTTCGTTGAGGTCCATGGTTCACTTTGAGGGTGAATTTCCTCCAGACAGCTGGATTTTCAGTACTCCAGAGATCTTCTTTCATTAATCTGCTTCTGGCAGCAGGATGATTTCTTTTTTCCTGCCAGTGCAATTTCCTAAAGTAGCGTGATTACAGCCTATGTGACAGGATGGCGCTGGTGGTGGTACTAGTCACTGTCCTATGAGTCAACTGTGCAAAATCTATTTGAGATGCAAGAAATTCTAATGTGACTTCTTTTAATTGAAAGGGGTGAAGGATGGGTTTGTGATTAAAACACTGTGCTAAGATCTAGGAGACAATCTGGATCAGTTCTTCTGTTATCGACTTTGCGTGTGACCTTGAATTGGCATGTATGATTCTGGAGCCTCTAAACTGAACTGATGAATAAATGGAAAATAGCACAGAATCACAGAACGGCTCGGATTGGAAGGGAGACCTCAAGGATCGTGGATCTCCAACCCCTACACCACAGGCAGGGCCACCAACCTCCACATCTAATACTAGACCAGACTGTCCAGGGCCCCATCCAACCTGGCCTTGAACACCTCCAGGAACGGGGTCTTACATATAATACTTATATACATATATGTGGCAGCCCACAGTTTGTATGGGTGTACGCTCTGCTGGGTGAAATGCTGTCTGGATGGCCAGGCCCAAAGAATTGTAGTCAGTGGAGTTAAATCCAATGGTGACTGGCCATGAGCAGGGTCCCCCAGGACTCGGTACTGTGGCCGCTTCTATTTGACATCTTTATTATTGATCTTGATGAGGGGATTGAGAGCACCCTCAGTAAGTTCGCAGATGACACCAAGTTGGGAGGGAGTGTTGATCTGCCTGAGGGGAGAAGGGCACTATAGAGGGACCTGGATAGGCTGGATTGATTGGGCCAAGGTTAACTGCATGAGTTTCAGTAGGGCCAGGTGCCGGGTCCTGCATTTTGGTCACAACGACTCCAGGCAACCCTACAGGCTTGGGGAGGAGTGGCTGGAAAGCTGCCTGATGGAAAAGGACCTTGGTGTGCAGATGGGCAGCCGGCTGAGTAGGAGCCAGCAGTGTGCCCAGTGGCCAAGAAGGCCAGTGGCATCCTGGCTTGGAGCAGGAATGGAGTGGTGAGCAGGAATGGGGAAGTGATCCTGCCCTGTACTCAGCACTGGTGAGGCCTCACCTCAAGTGCTGTGTTCAGTTTTGGGCACTCAGGACAGAAAGGACACTGAGGTGCTGGAGCAGGTCCAAAGAGGGGCAACAAGGCTGGTGAAGGGCTTGGAGAATATGGCCTGTGAGGAGGGACTGAAGGAAGTGGGGCTGTTCAGCCTGGGGAAAAGGAGGCTGAGGGGAGGCTTTATTGCTCTCTTCCAATACCTGAAAGGTGCTTACAGCAGAGCGGGGCTGGTCTCTTCTCACTGGTGACAGGTGACAGGATGAGGGGAATGGCCTCAAGTTGTGCCAGGGTAAGTTTAGGCTGGATATCTGCAAACACTTCTTTACAGAAAGGGTTGTGAAGCACTGCAATGGGCTGCCCAGGGAGGTGGTTGAGTCACCATCCCTGGATGTGTTTAAAATCCCTTTAGATGTGGTGCTCAGGGACATGATTTAGAGGAGGGCTGTTAGATTTAGGATAGGATGGTTAGGTTGTGGTTAAACTCGATGATCTTTAAAGACTTTTCCAACTTGAGTGATTCTATAGTTCTAGGAGTGCTGTAGGTAGAGGGAACCTTAAAGGAGTTCAGCTTTTATTGTCTCTGAAAAAGGGAAAGAGAATAAATAAATAAAACCAGAAAAGACTGATAGAAAATGGGGTGTGAAGTGACTTGGAATGGTCTGCATTCCTATGAACAGAAGTAAGATCTGCTGCCTAAGCCACACTTCATGCACATGATCTGGGTTTGCAGCATCGCTATAGAAGTCTCCTGGCCAAAGAACAAAATTGTCTATGAGCTTTTCACTAATGCAAGAAATGCTATGGACTGCAGTGCCATCAGTGAGATACCATAGTCAATAATGTATTGAGAATTTATAGTGCAGGCTTTGAATTCGTACATCTCAATGTCCTGTACAAAGCCCTTTTTACAGAAATAACTTTATGAGAGAACTCACAAGGAGTCAAATGTGTGCACAGCCATGCACAGCTTGAATCGTTTGGCTCCTGCTCCTTTGCTTTGCCTGAGGTGGCTCATATCTGTACCACCTCATGGCAGTGTCACGGAACCTCGGGGGTAGAATTTGGATTTTTCCACCACTCCTATTGAAGATAATCTCAATTTATAATTTTTATCTTATGCCTTATGTTGTTTTGCAAACATCCAACAGACACTGATTCATTGCAATAAGTGTAAGTGGACTGTGGTAAACAAGGAAATTAATGGCGCTTCAACCCATTGATTAATAGGAGCCATGCATCCAGAAGCAGTGAGACACAACCATTTGTGCCCTACAGCACTGTGTTAAGGAAATGGCTTTTATAAATCATAACAGAAAATGGAAAGCTGCAAATTTTCAAAACTTGGTCCCTTACATGACAGTCAGGCATCTAGATTTCATTTTGGGCCAGAGAACTTTACCAACTGATACTTATTCATTTGTTTGTATTGGCATATATGTTTCCACAGCTAATTGCTAGAATATTAGTTTGTGTTAGGTTGAGCAATTCCACTTCTGTGCTAGTATAAACTCAGTTATATACCTAACATGTGCTCTGAAGATAATCAGCTTTTGACTATGCCAGTTGTTTCAGAGCTCTTTCAGACACGGGGCATGGACTCGGGTGTTAAGATCATCAGTAGATGTACAGGAAACCAAACCAAACCACAGAGTTCTGTTGAATGGCAGTAAGCATCTGTACTCAAAACAAAACAAACCTATCCCTTTTCCACAGGGCAATTTAAACTCCACAGGCTCAGGGCTTCAGTCTAATAAAGAATGGCTGAGAGAGTAAGCCCTGAGATTTTGAAAAACTGATTGGACTAAATGTGCTCGAATACGTCACCTACGATCTGAGTTAAATCATTCTGAAGTCAGCTCAATTCCACACTCAGTACAAAGGAAGCATAATAAAAACCCCTTATTAGAAGTGATAAAACTGCAGGGGGTTGTTTTCATGAGTTAAATATGAGATCTTCTAAAACCTGCATGCATCTCATGGGGGGAGAGGTGGTTGGATTTCTGTGTGAAAGCCAGCTTTCTACCTGCATGAGCATTATCACCTAGCAGGTGTTGCACAGGTGGAGTGCAGCAGTGTGCTGTGACTTGGAGCACCTCCTGAAGCTGAATTCCTGGGACAGTCTCTGTGCTGTTAACCCTTCCTGACAGCTGGAGAGCACAAGGAATCCTACCAGCAGTTACTGCCGCAGTCCTTCACCAAGTTGGTTTTGTTATTTTTAGTTCCCCTCCTACTGCACCGTTAAACCTCTTCCTCCCAATGACTGCTTTTCCCTTTCTGTGATGATCCTTCATTCAGTGTCACGTTTTGGAAATAACAGTATCAATTTCCAGGGTTTTTTTGTTTTTTTTTTGCCTTTTACTATTTTCTTAGAAGTCTTTCTGTCCCTAATCCTTCCTGGGTATGTAGGGCCTGAGTCTTGCTTTGCTTTGCTGACAGGCAGCTGCTCTTTCTGTTTTGTTTCCTTGCTGTTGTTATAGCAGCTGATAGCTGGCTTGCTGCATTTCTGGGGTGATTTGATCTATATCACATAAAGTGTTTCTGTGTTTATCTCCCTTTTTATTCAAGCCTTGAATGATAATGATCTCCAAAGTATCATCTCCTATATGTAATGGTGGGTAAGGGACTTGTTCCTGTTTCACAGATGGAGAAATTTAAGAACCAAGGAAGCTGTGGTTCGGAATGGGACAATTCAGAGAGTAGTAGATTTGGCTTCCCTGTGTGTGCTCTTCTTGCTTTGTAGACCGACTGTGCTGATCCCAGGATGTATCTTGAGTAAGGCTGCAAAAAACAAGAAGGTAAAGCAGCTAGGGATAGGGGAGGAAGCTTGAACTCCCTCTGTTTTCTGTGGTTGAAATATTAGCAGCAAATTTCCAGGCTTTGTAAGACAACACCTTTTATTAGTATATAAACCAGTTAAAATATTTTAAAAGAACAAGTTTTCTGTTCTTCTTTCTCTCTTTTTTTGTTTTCTACAGGTATCAGTCAGAGCCGGATCTCACATTGGCTTTTGCAACAGGGGTCAGACTTGAGTGAACAAAAGAAAAGGGCATTTTACAGATGGTACCAGCTTGAGAAGACAAATCCTGGTAAACACATCTAGCCTAAACATCTCCTACCATTTGATGTATGAAAAAAGCCTTTTGTCACTGGTTTGGATTATCACTGGTCATTCACTTGGTGGTATACTGATGAGGTATTTCCTCTGACTGGTTTCTTAGGAATTGGTCTGTGTTTTGTTTGCAGCAACAGATGTAGGACCGACTCACCCATAGCGGCCTGTCCAGCTTCTTGGTTGTGGTTACTTGCCCTGTCCTCCCATCCCTGGCTAGCTCTGGGAATGAGAAGTGCACTCTGTAGTGTTATCATCAGACAACATAAAATAGGTGTTGAGGCTCTTCAAAGTGAACAAGGAGAAACCACTAATAGTGGCTGTAATATGAAGTTAGAGCAGATGTGTACATCTTAGCTGGGATAACTTCAGAGGTTTTGAGTTGTAGCTGAAGCTCACGGATGACGTGTGGATAGTTACAGTGATTAAATGGAGATGTCTCTCTCAAATTCCACCTCCTTCTTCAAATCTCGAAATAGATCTTTAATATATAATGAGAAATAAAGCTCTTCATTGTCTTTAACAAATAATCTTCAAAATCACAGTTGAATGCATTTCCTTGTGTTGTTTTTCTCTATAGATTTTGTTTGACTACAGTTTTTACCGTCCCTTCAATAGTTTTATTGGAAAGATCAAAATATTTACGTTTAATTGCTTTTTTATTCATTTAATTTGGCATGATTAAATTAACTGTGTAATTGTTTAAGAAATTTAAGATGTAGCCTCTCGAATATGAACTTGAACATCCAAAATTCTACTGAAAAGAATTTCAACAAAAACAGATTCTCAACACTTTTGCTTTGTGTGTAAGCTGTAAATCAGGAGGCCCTGGCTGTCAACTGACCTGAGAATATTTTAGCCTAAAGTTGGGTGAGATGGAAGCTGTTGTTGAGCCTGTCCTTTCTGTTAGGCATCTAAAAGCTGTTTTAAGGAATGAATGTGCCAAGGGTTTGAGGTTCTAACAGGCTGCGGGGATCCCTAAGTGGCCTTGATTTTTTATAGTATTTGGAGTTGTGATACCCAGGGTCAGCAAAGGTATTGAATGCAGCCTTTTGCTACCAGCTTCTTTGGAAGCCTCATGTTGTACCGTGCGAAGCAACTCTCAGCCACTTATTTCCCTTTTAGGGAAGATATTACCTTCAAAATAGCAGAGAAAGCCATAGCTTTTTTGAAAGGTACATTTAAAGAGAAGAAAATAATGAAGAAATAAATGCCTCTAGCAGTGAAAACTCGCATGGATTTTTCTGTCCTTGCATCTTTTCTTTCCAGTATCATTTGGAGCTGTTTAGGAAATAGTATTCTGGTATTCTGTACCAGGATAAGAGCTGTCAAACTTGGCTCTCATACTTCCTTCTCTCTTTTTATCCACAAGCTTACATCTTTTTGTCCTTTCGGGCTAGAGAAGTGTAGCTTAAATGTAATTGAATTGATGTTAGCTTCTGTGTTACTAATGCACAGTGTTGCCGAGTTCTTGTTCGCTTTTCTTTATACACACATGGGAAAATTTAAGAGTGGTTGTTTGCATTTTACCTTGTTTTCAAATAAGAGATCTTGTGCAGCATTTTCAAGAAGTGTAAAAGGCAGAATGCCTCCTCTGCCTATGCCAGGAGACTATTTGGCTGCATTTAAATTCCCTTCAGAACCAGATAACGTTTGTTTTATTTTTAGAGGTTGAGGTAAGGGGTGGGGAAGCTTAGTTTTCCTGTGGCTGTTGGAAAAGTCTGCTTGAGGAAAATGTGATTGTATTTGTTTGTTTTGGGATCATCCACTTATTTCTATTATTGCCATCTACTAGATTGCAGGTCAGGCTGGTCGGGCAAGAGATAATTACCATGCATATGTGCAAGTGTATACAGTTTATTAGGGAAGATAACCAACCTTGTCCGAAGCATCTTGGATTTAAATTGCTATTAATAGAACCAATTTGGAGCTGAAGTTTGGACGCTGATACAGTATCCTGTAATTCCCAGACCATTCAGCTGCTTTCATTAGAATCTGAAAAGGAGAAAATAATTGCCATATTTGTACAGAAGTGGTCACAGCAGTCCTACTCACTCTTGGCAAAAGAGTGCCCTCCTCTGATAAAAACTGAAGTCATTAAATGAGTGGCATGAACTTTTTTTCTATTTGTTGTCTTATGAAGAAGGGAAAATTGGCTTTCTGTTATCTCATTTTTTTAATGACTGCAGCTACTGAGAACAAAATCTTGGACCTTCTTCTTTGAGGCATACATTTGGGTCCCTCTGCACAGGAGCACGTTTGTGTTTGAGTTACCAGCGGGCAAAAGGAGGTCTTTGGAACATTTGGTTTATCAGTTCTTTAATCCTTGTGTTTAACGCTGGGGGTCTCCAAACTAAGTTCATTTTCTGACTGAATTCATTAGCGTACTAAAAGGAAGATAATTTTCACTTACAATTGAAACAGTTTTGAAGCACCCAGGGCACCCAATACAATCAGTTTGTGAACTGTAAAGAAAGAAAAGCTGCTTTCTGGGGGAAGGACTAGAGAACACTTGGCAGACTTGCAGTCTTTCCTTGGCTCTGCTAGTTTTCTGTACAGCTTTTAGCAAGTGATTTTGCCTTTGCTCCTAAGTCCCACTTACCAGGTAAAGATGAGATTGTTCCCAAGGCATGAGTTGTTTGCCTTCCCTATAGTCCCTCACAAAAGGGACTTCACTCATATACTGCACCCAGCCAGGAATTTCAAAAAATACAAGAAACAGAAAATAACTTGTTAATGCATCATTTTCATTTTTCAAGTACGTGACAGTAGTACATAATGCTTTAAATCATCCACAGGTAGTCTTGCATCTGCTAACCTGAGAAATTTGTGTTGTGGTGCATCAGGGTGATTTTGAGACATGGCTAGATGTTACTCTTGTACCGAAGAGACTCAGCAATTCCATCACTTTTGTTACTTGGCAGTTTGCTTTGGCCTCTTGAATATGCTGCCTGTTGTTTTCTTGCTTCTGATTGCCTGTTTGCATGGACAGTTACTGTACTTCTCCTGTCTTTGGTGGCAGTTCATAGAATCACGGGATATTTTGAGTTGGAAGGGATCCTTAAAAGTCATCTAGTCAAAATCTGCTGCAGTGAACAGGGACACCTATAGCTTGATCAGGATGTTAAGAGGATGGTCCATCCTGGCCTTGAATATCTCCAAGGACAGGGCCACCTCTCTTATTGTAAAAAGCTTCTTCCTTATATCCAGTCTAAATCCCACCTCTTTTAGTTTGAAACAGTTTCCCCTTGTCCTATCACAACAAACCATGCTGAAGAGTCTGCCCCTTCCTTCTTATGAACCACCTTTAGATACAAGGCCACTCTCAGGTCTCCCTGAAGCCTTCTCTTGTCCAGACTGACAGCCCCAGCTCAACCTGTCCTCATGGGAGAGCTGTTCAGTCCCATCGTTTTTGTGGCCCTTCTCTGGATGCACTCCAGCAGGTCCATGTACTGAAGATTCCACAACTGAATGCAGTGCTCCAGGTGAGGCCTCACCAGCACAGAGCAGCTGCTGCCCATGCTGGCCACCCTTGTTAGGATGCAGCCCTGGATACAGTTGGTTTTCTGGGCTGCAAGGGCACATTGCTGGCTCATGTCCAGCTTGCCATCCACCAGTCCTTTTACACAGCTGTGCTCTATCCTTACGTCCCCCAGCTTGTACTGACAGTGGGAGTTGCTATGATCCAGGTGCAGAACCTTACACTTGGATTTATTGAACCTCATGAGGTTCACCTGGGCCCACTGCTCAGCTTGTTTAGATCTCTTTGCATGGCATCCCATCCCTTGGGCATATTGACCGTACCACACAGCGTGCTGTCATCTGCAAACTTGCTGAGAGTGCACTCAATCCCACTGTTGAATATATTAAAGAGCATTGTTCAGGCAACAACAGATACGAATGCTGTAAATGTTCAGAGATCACAAAAAAAACCCTTTCTGCTGTAGGCAATAATCTTACTTAAAAACTTCTTGACTTCTTGATCAATGTTTTCCTGGTATGAGTAATGTCAAACTTAATAGCATAGCTGCGAACTCCAATGTATTAGTGACTGTAATTTCTTCTGGAAGCAGTTGCCAATTAGGGTGAAAGGCAGTTTTTTGTTGAGGGGAAGAAGTCAATGCTAAATACTGGTGTTTGAAAGGACTTTAAACCAATTAATAGGGATACTTTCCATTTAGATATGGAGTTTTTTGGACAGGCACCACATCTCTTGTGTTTTGTAGAGGGCCACGAGCATTTTGGCAGCAGATAAATAATATATGTTTCAGAAGCTAGTGTATGAGTGCATTGAGTCCTGTAATGTTCTGATTATTTTTTTTAGAGCCCCTGGCTTTTAAATAAATAAATACTTCTTTTTATGCTGATAGTTAGCTTGATTAGTTTGGCTGGCACTGGGTCTTGAGCAATGTGGAAGGCTTGTTATGGAGCAACTTGAGCATTTCTTTTGCCTCTGTGCCATGTAACCTGAAGCTGTCTCCTAGAAATGGTGTGTTGGAGTTGCAGATGGTTACAGACTGCTTCCAGTTAGCCTGCATACTTTCTTTCAGCTGGTCCTCTGTAACAGGAAGGTAGCTGTGGTCATCTTGTGCTTTTCCTTCTTGAGCAAAAGGGAAAAAGAAAGGTAGTTATTATCAAGATGTAATCTCTCTTGTGTTACTCCCATAGCAGTTCTTCTTTGGCTATATCTGAAAAACATATGAAAAGAAACTGAACAACCAAACACCCAACTGAAACAACAGAGGCTGGATATCCCATGGGATTCGTACTCGAAATGCACTGTTGGTGATTTACTGTTTTACAGAGCTTCAGCAGTCCTGCTCTGATCCTTCCCAGCCAAGCAATGAGTCCTGTAAGGAACGTTTTGGTGTGCAGGCTGCTGATTCAAATCTAGTTTGGCTCAGGAGTAACTGGAAGGTGTTTATTATGAACTCTCAGGTCAGTCTGGCTAAAAATGAAGCATGACATCTCTTCTTATCAGTGTAATATACAGTAGGTACTTGTTGCAGAGACTTGCTGGTAAATGATTTCTTGGAGCTGGGAGATGCCCTGAGGCTGGCTCCAGCCATTCTGTGCATCACTCTTGTGCTGCAGAGCCTCTGTGAGAGATGGGATGTGGATCAGCAATTGCATGTGATGCTTTTAAGAGCAGCTCTCTTCCTTCAGAGTAGTGTTTGGGACATGCAGAGAGAAGGAAGGCCTTTGCCATGAGAAGCTTTCAGTATAGAGGTAGCTCTGTGTTGCTGCAAGAAATGCAAGTGGTGAGATGGCACTTTTCCTTTTTCTCCCTGAGAGTTCTTCCCAGTTGATTCACCTCTACACCACTTACAGGTTCTTGCTTTTTGATGCATGTACCGAGACAGAAATTTCTTACATTTGCTCTGCTTGTTCTGCAGAAGAGAGAAGCTTCACTTCTTAGAAGCTGTTTGAGGAGCTTGTGAAAAGATTCTGAAATGGCAGCTGGGATGGAAAATAAGTTGCAAAGAAGTGAAGCTGATCTGAGAGAAGATTGCAATGAAACTTTGGAAGAGCAGAATAAATGGGATCCCAAAGTGCTCACTTAATTGCAGGACATGAAACAAAGCTCAAGTTGTCTTACCAAATGCAGCAGCAGTGCTCGTATCCACCACTTTCACTCTGACAGATAGATCCCAGCACATCTTGTGCCTCTGCATGTATTCAGGTGCTTCTGTCTCTCTTCGTGTGCAAAAACAGGGGTTGTGTACTTGCTTGTAATGCACAGCATGCTTCTCCCATATCAGCAGCTGATATTGATGTTACCTTGTAGAAAAGAGAAATGGGTAAATTAATAGGTAAATTGATGGGAAGGCTACTGAACAAACAAAAAAAAAGTAAATAAAAATTCAGTAAGTGAACATGGCAGCAGTAAACTCATGCTTTAAACCCTGATGTTTTTTCAGCCTTTGTCTGCAAAATCTGATGTGCAAAATCACTGATGTAATTGCTCTGCATCTCTTTCTGTTAGGCATCAGTGATATTTCCATATTCCCCCTTTTTCTTGAGAACATACAAATGAAATCCTTAGGTGGGGACAATACATTGCTAAGGCAGTGCAGGGAGAGCTAATTCCTTGTCCCATTCTCCCCAGACTCTTTTAAATGAATGAATAATATTTATATTTTAATTGTGGAGAAGTATTTAAAGCCTAGCAACCTGATACTGACCCAGACCTCAAATCGTGCAAGGATTAGAGAGTAGATAAGGAACTCTCCTTGCAATGGCCTCCACAAGAGTTGGCAACATAGGAAACATTTCATGTGTCAATAAAATGAAGTAATTGGGAATTGGCAGGAATCACTGTCCTTGTACACACAGGGCAGAGGTGGTGGGGTTCACTTCCTGTAGGCTTCTCCTGGGAAAAGTCTGTAAGTGTTTGTGGGCTCTGCTGCCTGTGTCAGTAAGGAAAATAGGCATTGGGCATTTCTGCAAAGCAGCACAGCCAAATGCATAAATAGCTAATTCCTTGGTTTTTACTGTAGGAATTTGCTTATTGGAAAACTCTTAAGTTCCCTTAACCCCTTTAACTGTGTTATAGAATAAATGAGAGGTGTTGTTTTACTAAAACTGTAGGGTTCTGTGATAAAATCCTAACTGATCTGAGCAAGTCGAGCAAGACCCAGAGGCCTCTCCTGTCCCAGCCCTGCTTTTACATGCACATAGTAGCACATTCCTCGTGTGAGCGATGCCACTTGCTACTCTTGGGGGGGGAAAAAAACACCAGGCTTTTAGAATGCATGAAATCCATTTGTGCTTAGGGTGCTTGTGGGATATGGGTGATGATTTAGCTTTTCATATGATTTATATATGTATTTTTTCCATGTAAGAGCAGCTCTTTCTTCATTCCCTCCAGGGGTAGCTGCTGAGCACAAGTCTCTCAGAGCATCCCCTGTTTCACATAGAAATGCCCCTAACCCAGGGCTATATGAAAGATTGGTCTCTGTGTTTTGATTTATCTTGATTTATTAACTGAGAGGCTGTTGTGCAAGGATTCGGGTAAGTTTCAAAGGGCTTTTCCTAAAGGCACTGTGCCAGGTCCCATCTCTCTCTTGGTGCTTTCCAGCTCAGGCTTCTTGAAAGGAGAAATATATCCATAGATGGGGGGCCGAAGTGGAAAGATGTGATACTAATCTGCTTTCAGTGACTTCTGCAGTCAGCCTGGCACTCAGGGGCCCATGTTTGCACAGGTCACTGCGTGTGCTTCTACCTGTGGAGCGATTTTAAGTGTTTCCTTGGCTCTTCAGCCATGTCAGAATATCTTGGGGTATAAACTTACACTGTGCTTTCTGAGACTGCTGTACAGTTGATTATTATTTCCTATTTTGTGGCCGAAGTGGTAGCAGCACAGCCTAAATAAAGATCAGTTGTGGCACAGCTCCTCCCTTCTTTATGATACTTGGTGAAGACAAGGCAGCATTTCCAGAGTGGCTTCAACAAAGGCAACAAGCTCAGTTATGTCATCCTTAGATTTCTGTGGGTACCTGGTACTTCTCTGGCTGGGAATGGGAACTCTAGCTGGCTTTGTATGTCCTCAGGGTGTCTTTTTTTGATGATGCTTTACTATTTAGTTTGAATGGTTTCATCATCTGTCTTGTCTTTTTTTCCACAAGCAGGAGTGAGGAAATGGGCATGATTTTTAGTCCACTAGGAAACACAGTGTTTATTATCCCTAGGGGCTACGTTAAGCATGCGACCAGCTCCCATCCCAATAGAAGAGCCAGAATGGAGACAGACACCTCCCCCAGTCACAGCTACCTCTGGGACCTTCAGACTACGGCGAGGCAGTCGGTTCACATGGAGAAAGGAATGCCTGGCTGTTATGGAAAGGTATGTCATTTTGGGGCTCTGGAGAGGGGCACTTAAAGCCAATGCAAATATCCTTTTTTCCTGCTAGCTTCGTTTTCACGGGTGTACTTCAGAATGGCACACGCCAATAAGTGTTAACTGTAATTCCACATAATAGAGTAGTAGGAGCTATTTCAGCCCTTCTCTTGTTTTTGTTTTTGAAAAGTGCTGTATTCCTCTGGACACTATTATATTTTGTAGCTGCTAAGGAGTCTTTCCCATTGCTCACTGTGAGAGCATTGGTGTTCATTCAGTTCATGCTTTTCTTTTGCAGAAACCTTTCCATCCAGTCTGGTCCTGCCTCTCTCGGTGGAGTTCTGCACACTCTTTATACTCTACATTTCTCCTTCCCACTTTCCTGGTTTAGTCTCGTAATGTTTCAAGTTATTTTACATTGGGTACTGGCATTTCAGCAGCACTGTAATTGTACAGGATGCAGAACTTTGCCTTAACAAGCAATAGATTTCCTATCCAAAAAGGCTCTTACAACCTTTTTACGTGAACTGGGAACAGTACAGAGCAAAGTGGATATTTCAAATACATATGCAGAGTGGTAGGTGATCATTAGAGCTCCCTACTCTTCACTCCTGCAGAGACGAAGCACTCTCTGAGCCAGGTCTCCTTGCTGCCTATGTGCTTTTCCCTTCCCTTTCCTTACAATAATCTCTCTTTTATGGGTAACATCGTATAATAATGAAGGTCTACTGAACTCAAACATAGTTTAGGGATGAATGTTAAATTCTGATAAAGGCTAAATGACTGGGAGGACTTTTCTTCTCTCCAGGAGCATAAAGAACCTCCTTTACATGAAAGCACTGGATGATGTTCTTTACACACTACATTCCACACTGGTTTGCAAATCCATTGAATCCTTGGCCGTTGGATTTTTAGAACGTGCTTCTGCCATGTCTTTACTGCTGCTCCTTCCTCTTATTTGCAGGAGGGTCTTTGGAACTGATTAGAATCAGGAGGGTGTCTACATCTGCCTTACCTAATACCAAAATACAGAGCTGAACATCTGTGGGTGAGGCTGCAGGCTGTCACAGCAGCTTTGCAGGGCTGAGGCCAGTAACTGTTTCTGTAGTCTGTGCTGGCACCGTACTGCACAGCTTTGGCTGAATATTTCCCCTAAGAAAATAATGTAAATGTTTAAAATCTATTCTGCTTTGCTACACCCATCTAGTGTAATGTCCTGCTAGCAGAGGGGTTGGCATTTACCTGATGTGTCCCCCTCTGCAGTGTGGGAACAATGTTTGATACTTCAAAATGCTTGTATGGCTGTCCTGATTGCCATGTGAAGGATTACAGAAATGTTACAGCTCTGTCTACCTTTAAGGCCATGCCATCCTCTTGTTAACTTGTGTGTAAAATATTTGCTTGCTTTGAGGTGGAATTACAGCTATCTTGGCCGTGGGTGTTTTCCTGCTGACTATTATTTGCTGTTTGCATTATGATAGTGCTTTAGGCTCCCTTACACGAGGTGCTGTGGAATCAGAGCAGAAGGAGATGGTTAAGGAAGTTCTTTCCTCCTCCACTCCTCCTCTCCTAAATCCAGTCTCTGCTGTGACACTGTCACTGAAGTCAGATGAGCTGCAGTGGTTTGCTATACATCTGTTAGAAAGGTTTCCTTTTGTATACTGAAGGAAGCAAGTCAGCACTGACATTGGAAATCATCAGGTACTGTATGCAGATATGTAATCACCTGATCTAATTTTGTATTACTCTCTTTCTTCTTTTAGCCACTCTTGGTTTTGTTCACTGCGTCTTATTTTGCTCTCTGTAAGGTCTCTTCTGCAGGGGTGTTATTGTTTTTTGGTTAATTAAATGGAGGCTTCTGCCATGTTCCCTTCATCCTGGCTTTAAAAATAATTTTAATTTGCAAAACCCTTGCTGGGTCCCTACAAACACTGAATTTCACAATGTTATGTAGGGGTACTGGAAAGCATGGCCAAGAGTTTTTACCTAGAGGCAAGAATACAGTGAACTAACTGTGGTAAAAGCTTTGTATGGCAGTAAAACAAAGACAGGTTTGGAATATGGTTGTTTAACTGCTAGATGCTCATGGGCTTAGCTGAGCTTAAAGATGTTTTATGTGACAAGTTTGAAATGATGGGAGAAAAACACTCACTTGGGAGCCCTATGAAGAGGCTGGCTAACTTCACTTCCAAGTCACCAAAGTCCTCCAGGCTCTTCAGTAAGGTGACTCAAAGCAACAGCCAGCATGAGGGTAACCAGATTCCAGCTGTCTCACCCAAGCAGATCAGGTTTGCTTGATGCCATAGGGTCAGGAATCGTCATTTGGCCCACAAACCAGTGTTTGGCATTGAGTGTGGACCGGGGCCATTCAGCTGGAATTTGCATTTTCCTCTCAAGGATTAAGTTTTGACTGTGAGCGAAGGCATCTTACTCACTTTAATGGGCCATATTCCTTAATTAAATGCATGTTTCATTATGCTGCATTTGTATGTCCTGCAGCATCTTAATGTGCTGTTGGTGCAGGCAGGGATTTAGGCACCTCGTTTTGAGCTGCCTTTTTGGGTCTCTCTGTAAAGTGTTTGTTCACCTGGGCTTTCTGGCTAGTCAGCAATGAGAAGTAGGGATCCAGAAGGCAATTCCATCACACTGATGCAGCTCATGACGAGTCCTGCACCTTTCTCCTAGGTACAAGAGAGCAACAACACCTACTTCAGTGATTTATTTCAGTGCCTAATGATAAGAGGGCTGAATCTAGACATTAATGGGAACTCTTGTGTAGGCGATGCAAAGCTACTTTTTCTTGTACGCTTTTGAAATGTTGCTGTGAAGCAGCAAAACAGGCTTTGGTGAGGATCAAAGTCTTGGGCTGCTGTGTGAGTTAATTGTGGTATGTGCTATTGACTTAGAGTCGGTTGGGATGAAATGCGGTTGCTAAAAGTCAGTGTATCAAAGCTGAGAGCACTTCAAGGAAACAATCTGAATGTGACTGTAAAAATGACAAGCTCCCCAACCAAAAATGCACTGAACAAGTCAGGATTTGTCCCATGTACTGAATAAGAAAGGCGAGGACTTTTCAAAATGCAAATCCACAATAATTCCAACGCAATTAATTATATCATGTTGGCAGCAATATCATAATTAAGATTACAGTTAGGCCAGCACATATATTGAAGTATCTGATGTGCCTAAGTGTCTTTTTGTGGGGTATGTGTATTAAAGAAACTAATTGGTTTACACTGGATTTCCAGAATAGTGCTTGCGGTCTCTGTAATTCAATTCTCCAGTCTTTACTGCTCTTTTGGAAGTTCTCCCAGGGTAGTTTATTACTCGCTGGGCTTAGATTTCGGACAATAGATCCAGAAGGTCTTGTTCTCCCTCTCTCTGCTTTTTTTCTTTTTTTTTTTCTCCCCAAATATTGCTCCGAATATTTATGTTCTGAAGGTGAAGAGGAGCAATAGTTCCAGAAAGTGAAGTTCTATATTTAACTTCAGACTAGGTGTGGTTCAGACAACTGCAGTGCAAGCTCCCTCTCACTGCTGCGCTAGTGATATCAACCTTGACCTGTTCTCTTCTTGAGCCTCCTACTCATGAAATATGCTGAGTTTTGTGAGCGGTGATGTCGTGTGGCTTTACCCTCCTTTGGGAATAGAGCTAAGACTTCAGCAGTCCTTTCTGTTCAAACCTGAGGTTAAACTTGAAAGTCTGTTGCTGGTTCAGATTCGTGTTGTTCTGCATTACGTCTTGTCCTAAAGATTTTCTTTTCCTCTGCTTTACCTCTTTTTCAACTCCTCTCATTAGAACTATGAAATTGAAAATCCCCTTAGGGTTTATTTTTCTTCTTCTAATGAAACTGTCATCTTGTCTGTCTTTTTTCTTTAAGTTATTTGTGCTTCTCTAATCGTATGTTGCAGCTGAAGTTTATCTTTTCTTTCAGGCAAATTGTTACTGAAGAATGATCTGAGATCAGCAGCAGGATCGATGGCAATACACCCATTTTAAGGCACTCTTGTTAAGTGCCACTAAAGCCTGATGGGAGGGAGGGCCTGAGTACTGTTGGCTTTTTTAAGTATATGCTTTATCCAAAAATTAAAATAACTATAGATTGTGCTCTAGACAACATGAATAATCCATTAGTTGAAGTATTTCACTTTATCTAGAAAGGAGGGGCTTTTCTTTCTGGTTGAAGGTTATTTGGTTTGATTGCTTGTGTTCTTTTAATTGTAATACTTTACTTTGCTCTTGAAGCATCCTTTTGTAAAGATGTATTAAAATTAAAGGCAGCAGATGATACTGATACCTATTATCCCCATTGCATAAAAGGCAAAATGGAGTCAGGTGTTTCACTTGGCTTTGTGATCCGAGGCAGCTTTATTCATAAAAGAAATTAGTTTAGATTTCCTAAGATACTGAGGGTATGGTTTCATGATATAGCTGAGCTGAATTAACAGTTTGTCACCATCTCATCCTTCAGGTGTTATCCTGTCTCATCACCCTTCTCAATTCCTCCTCCTCCGTTTCCTTGCTCCTGCCATCCTGCATTGTGCCAGATGTGTTTCTGTCGGATGGAAATACCTGCCAATTCAGCTTGGTTCAAAAAAATAACAACAGTGTTTCCCCCTCCATTTTTGTGAATTGATTCAGCTTGCTGTGCAACGAGGGCATGCCAGAGCTGGTTCAGGGCAAATGACAGGTATGCGTGACTGAGAGCGAAGGGAAGGGAAGGCTTACCAAAAGAAACCTTACAGATTTTCCATGATTCTGTTTGCCTGTCAGTTTTGTCTTGTGGTTTGACTTAGGTGAGCTCCTGCTCCGGCTGAGAGCACAGCCGTGCTGGCAGTTGCACTGGCGTTGTTGAAGCAATGTCCTTTGAATTTTGCTGGCCATCCTCCTGAAGAAGCAACTTCTGCAGCGGTCCCAGCAAGCCAGCAGAGCCCTGTGCATGGTTCTGGCTCTGAGTGATATCAGGTCTGACATGCGTTATTAGAAATTCTTCCGATTGTGAAAGC